TGGTATTCAGTGCCGGGTTGTCTGATCATGAAGCTGTACTGGTTCATAGCCAGCCGGGGACCACTGTTGAGCTGTGGAAATACTGGTAGAAATGTCAATGAAAAATTAGAGTTTCCCATGCATCTCTAATTCAATTTTAGCTCTAGTAGAGTCGGAAATAGGATTTTCATAATTCTCTAGTCTCTATAGATCAAATTCAGCTCTATAGGAGGGCCAATTATTATAGAATTTTTAAGCCTCTGAGTTTGAAATTTAGCTCTGACAGAATCAAAAATTTTTCAAACTTTAACTCTAGAATTATCACAAATTATCAAAATTCATTGAAGTCTTCAAAAATGTTTTATTCAAAAGTCCTAAGGTTTTGAATCAGCGGAAGCTTTAGGATCCTTATTCCAAAATCATTAAAAATTCCAATCTTTGTTTTTCAATTTTGAAAACTTTTGTGTAGAATTTTTGAAAAATTAGTCTTTGAGGTTTTTTAAATCAGGAATTCTGAATTCTACATCCTGAAACTATGAAAATTAATCTTCCTGTTGCAATTTTTTGGAGACTTAATTCCTTGAGACACTTTCAAGTCTTTGAATCAAGGGACATAAGAAACTTCAGTCTCACATCTGAAATCAGTGAAATCTCTATTTCAACATCTAAAATAAAGGGTCTTCAGAGTTATCAGAAGTTCGAATGTCTTTAGTCCAAAGTCCTAAGCGTTGAGAAACAGTTCAGAGGTTTAAAGATCTTGGAAAATCTTTTGATGCTTTAACTTGAAACCTTGGATTATTCAAATTTTCAAGCTTCAGTGTTACATATTAAATAAGCAGTATTTGGAATCATTTCTAAATAAAACGAGTTGGTATTCAGAACCTTCAAAATCTTTCAAGTCTTTGTTTGTTCTTGTGTCTTTGAAATCTTAAGTATTCAGGTATGGACCTCAAGACCTCCTAACAATAATATTAATTGACACTCGATTAGCAGACAAAGCATTTTTGAAGCAATAATGAGCCTGTCTGTATGGTATTTCTGAGTTACTTTTTAAAAAATGTGTCTGTACTCTTACAAAACCAATCACAATTTTATTTAACAATTCTATGATTGCTTCGGAATACCCAGAGCTCTGGAAACAAAGCTTTTTAGTGCTTATTTTTAAGAGTGGCGATAAACAGAACATAATAAATTATAGAAGTATGTGTACCCAATCTGCCATTCCAAAGTTGCTGCATAAGTAACCTTATGATGTAGATTTTGGAAAACTTTGAAAGGTCATAACTTTTTTTCTATTATAGATAGAAAGCTGAAATTTTCACTGAATCTTATCTCAATAAAGGGACTACAATCCTTGCTCATTTGCACTTATAGTTCCTGAGATAAAATTGTGTTAAGCAATTTGGGGTGGTTTATCAATTTTTCATGTTTTCTGAGTGCCTTTTCTCATAGATTTCGACTTCAAATCTGAGAATAATTTTGTGTATGAAGTTTGGGGTATGTTAATTGACCATTAGGATACATAATCTTGACAAAAAATAAAAATTCATCGTTTTAGTAAGAAGGTACCCCCCCTTATGATTTAGATTTTGGAAAACTTTGAAAAGTCATAACCTTTTTTCTATTATAGATAGAAAGTTGAATCTTTCACCGAATTTCATAATTTTCAAAGGACTACAATCCCTCAAAAATTTAGCTCATTTGCACTTATAGTTCCTGAGATAAAATCGTGTTAAGCAATTTGGGGTGATTTATCAATTTTTCAATTTTTCTGAGTGCCTTTTTTCATAGATTTCGGCTTCAAATCTGAGAATAATTTTGTGTGTGGAGTTTGGGGTATGTTAATTGTCCATTAGGATACATAATCTCGACAAAAAAAAAATTGAAATTTCATCGTTTTAGTAAGAAGGTACTCCCCTTATGATTTAGATTTTGGAAAACTTTGAAAAGTCATAACTTTTTTTCTATTATAGATAGAAAGCTGAATCTTTCACCGAATTTCATAATTTTCAAAGGACTACAATCCCTCAAAAATTTAGCTCATTTGCACTTATAGTTCCTGAGATAAAATTGTGTTAAGCAATTTGGGGTGGTTTATCAATTTTTCATGTTTTCTGAGTGCCTTTTCTCATAGATTTCGGCTTCAAATCTGAGAATAATTTTGTGTATGAATTTTGGGGTATGTTAATTGTCCATTAGGATACATAATCTCGACAAAAAAAAATTTAAAATTTCATCGTTTTAGTAAGAAGGTAGATTTAGATTTTGGAAAACTTTGAAAAGTCATAACTTTTTTTCTATTATAGATAGAAAGCTGAATCTTTCACTGAATTTCATAATTTTCAAAGGACTACAATTCCTCAAAAATTCAACTCATTTGCACTTATAGTTCCTGAGATAAAATCGTGTTAAGCAATTTGGGGTGATTTATCAATTTTTCATGTTTTCTGAGTGCCTTTTTTCATAGATTTCGGCTTCAAATCTGAGAATAGTTTAGTGTATGGAGTTTGGGGGATGTTGATGGACTATTAGGATACATAATCTCGACAACAAAAAAATTTAAAATTTCATCGTTTTAGTAAGAAGGTACTTACCCTATGATTTAGATTTTGGAAAATTTTGAAAGGTCATAACTTTTTTTCTATTATAGATAGAAAGCTGAAATTTTCACTGAATCTTTTCTCAATAAAGCGACTACAATCCCTGAAAATTTCAAAATTATAAAATCTCAACATAAAAAATTTGAAACTTTATCGTTTTAGTAAGAAGGTAGCTTTTACCTTATGATTTAGATTTTGGAAAACTTTGGAAAAGCATAACTTTTTTTCTATTGAAGATAGAAAGCTTAAATTTCTAGCGATTCTTATCCCAGTAGAGGACTACAATTTCTGAAAACTTTCAGTAGTTTCAAGATTAGATAAAAGAGAAATAAGTCACCACAGAATACAGGACATTGATTTATTGAAAGGAACATGATCTGAGCTACTTCATTATCTGATATATGGACTTGAGAGTCTCTCAACATTCACATTTTCAAGTTCTGAGAAAAAAAAATTGTTTTAAATAAAATGAAAATGTTTTCAGGACTGCACATAACACATAACATAAATTTATACAGATCTTGTGTACTTTGATTGAAATTCCTCACTTAGTTGTGAAAAACCCCAAAAACTATCCAGTTTAATAATTGTCAGTACTCTTTAATTCTTCTTTATAGGTACATCTCATCGCACTTGAATTAATCAAAATATGTACTCAAACAGTTTCCCCATTAAACTGTAACATGCAAATTGCATTTTGTATTTGACACGTTGATAAATTATTCAAACGATAAGTGGAAACGAAAAAAGTGTTCATTTAATCCAAAGGTGTAATTAATAGAATGATAGCGCCATTTTCCATTACCGAAACGGATAATTTTTGATGTAGGAAATTGTTTCTTTGATTATCGCACAATATATTTCTGTAAATTTGATAATAATCACCCTTCACTTAAGTTCCTGTTCAACTTTTAAACGATTTCCAAGAACTTGAACTTGAATATTTTAACACCTCTTTTATATTAACCGAGAAGAAGGGAAAAAAATTGAATCGCCTCGGGTCCCGTACGAGTTTACATACGTACAGATTTATTACACAGGCCTACATATTATAGTGTAGCATTGTCGGGGCCCTATAATTTAACCTTTCAAAAATTAAAACTGGTGGTTTATGATAGATGCTATCGGCGATCACCAATTTAAAAGCGGCTCACCAAAAAGAGCGCTCGGGTTATATAAGGTGATAGGAAATCTGATAAGGTTAATTGACAAGCGAGGCACTGGTGGTGGATGGCGCCTATTGGACCTCAAAGAAGAAAGGAATTTTCAATCGAAATTCGATTCCATAAAAATTTAGTCTATAGAGTAGCTTTTCATGGGCCCAAATTTGTAAGTTTCAGTGTCCAGAAGTGTCAAATGTCCAAAATGCTTTTAAAGAAGTTCATGTCAGATGTCCAAAGTTTATAAAGCATGGTTTACTATACATGTATTTGTCCAAAATAGATCTCAAAACGTAGCTATTCAAACATCTTTTTCAGTATCTGAAGGAAATATCCAAGGGTACAATTTCCAGTGTCCAAAGTGACTTTTACTCTTTTAAAAACAAATTGAATTTCCATTAATCTCTTATCTATTTTTCCTCCGTTTCCCACTTCCTGTTTCTGCTTCAGATTTCTGTTTTCCTGGCAGAGTTTCCGCCAAACCGGAAGTTTCTCCGGTATTTTGCGCCTCAGTTCCGGCCATAATAGCTATACGAAAATATTCAACTTCTATTTTATTTAATACATAATGATCTAAATTACTAAAATTTGGCTCTAGAATTCTAGAAAATCCCTTCAAAAGTCTATACACACCTGTTCCGAACAGGTACGAGGACAATTTCCTACCTGAATCGTTTCTGGAAAACCTTTTCCACCGACAGCAACTTCTGTTCTCCGGCCAACTGTGTCCCAAAAACTGGCACTTTTCTTCCATTTTCCAGGTTTTCCTGGATCCAATTTCCCGGAAATACAACTAATATTGTTTGTATAAAAATATTTCCTCCAGGGACTTGGGACTATACCCTTTTCACTGGAAAATTCTATAAAATCGGCATGTGTGTCCTTTAAGGACACTTCACCTTGGCTTTTCCAGGAAGTGGCATAGCAGAGCAGCAGAAACGGGAGGCGGGACGGAATGTTTCGTCCTGCCAACGAACGAATGGTCGATACAAGGGGCGGTTTTCGTTGGCGCGTTGTCGGGGGCGGCGCGAACTTACTGCAGGTGCTACAGGTGTCGAAATTCGTGGAAGTTGTATTAGGAGTTGATGAATTTATTCGGAAATCGGAAAAACTCCAACCAAAGTACAAGTACAACTTACAAAGACAAAAATAATACAACAATTCTGGAGTTACTTGTTGTAAGTTGTATTTTAACAAAAAAAATAATAATATCGTCATGTTATTTATAGTCTTAACTGCTAATTAATTAATACGCATATTCTCAAACATTATTCTCTTGAACTTGGATCATGTTCTCATGAGAACCGTGCAGATTATCTTTGTCCTTACTAGCAACGCTGTGTCTCGGTGTTGTCGGCATTGACTTGATCTGGTTCAGTTCCTTTAAACTCCTATAGTGAACCACTCCCGAGCCAAAAGCGTCACCCATTACGTTGATAGCCGTACGGAATCTGTCACTAAAATAACCACAAAATTATTGCAAATTTTACCCAAATTAATATCAAACTTACAGTAGCCAATCTACAGCTAAAATCAAAGTGACATCTTTGGCAGGTAAACCAACAGTGTCTAATACCATCACCATTGTAACTAGTCCAGCTTGGGGTATACCGGCAGCGCCGATACTTGCCGCCGTAGCTGTGATACTGATAGCGATAATTCTTCCTAAATCCAGCGAAACGCCACGTACTTGAGCGATGAAAATAGCTGCAACCGCTTCATATAAAGCGGTACCATCCATGTTGATGGTAGCTCCAATTGGAAGAGTGAATCTTGCTATTCTAGGGGTCGATTCCTAGTTTTTCTTCCAAGCATCGGATCGTAATTGGAAGGGTGGCAGTACTTTATTGCAAAATAATTCATTATTGATTAGTTTTTTAAGTCAATTTAATGTTACCTTGAAGCAGTACCAAAAGCTGTAACGATGGCGGTTCCTAGGCACTTAATGTAAGTGAATGGATTTCTTTTCGTCAAAGCGAAATATAAAATCGGCAGGACTATGAAGCCTTGAATGAACAATCCTACAAGTACTGTCATGAAGTACAAGCCTAAACCACTGAGTACCGTAGCTGGAAAAAAGTTGCAACTAAATAAAGTATACTATAGTCTGTGATCAAAATTATTGGTGGAAAATTAAATAACTGATGTGTCACAATCCGCGCTCCTTTATTTTAGAAATGAGTCACTGCCAGTAATTTCGACCACACAGTTATTTTTGGCACTGGCTTGTGAAAGACCACCCTGTAATTTCAGAAGTCCCCCGCTCTTTCTAATGTGCATAGTTTCGCTCATATAAGTCTGTGTTTGTCTCACTCTTGTAAATAGCACATTGACGTGCGCTCTTTTTTCTTATTTCGATTTTAAAAAAGCAATGACAGAAAATAGTATATAATTCTATAATGATGGTTATTACTCACGAAGGATGGAGATTGCACTACGAGCCGCAGGCGAGTAGTATAATCATCCGAGTGAATAATAGCCATTACCCACGAGTAGAATACTATACTTTTTCTATGTTAATATTAATAGATAATAGGCACGAGTTCTGCAGTTTTTTATTTAATTTTTATAACAAAATTAATTGACATTTCTGACAGCTGGAAAACAAAGTGAGGTTAATTTAACGCAAGTCTTGTTCAAATCAGCTGTCAAAATGACCGATTGGAAGGTTGAAGTATGTTGTCAACTTGACGAACTTTCTGATTGGCTCTTAAATAGTGGAGTAATGAGACCAGGATATTTTCATTGGTTGAAAACAATTAAGTAATGAAAAAAAAATCACTGTGTGAGTAATCATTCATGTTGGTCAATAGAAAATGGATGTTATTCAATACTCACAGAAAAAAATACATTGTTTTGATTAGTTTTCAAGTTCCTTTTCAAAATGTCGTAGAGAAAACATCATTGGAGCTACGAGGCAGACAATACAATTATCTGGATACCTGGGCTGGGACTCTGTAGCGAATAGAGATATTTAGGCCTATGATGTATCCTGTCCGGCTGTCTTAAGGCTCAACATCTATTTTTGTCTCCATTTTGACATATAGAATAAACAGTGACAGATAACTTAACGTTGGCTGTTAAAATAACATCATGGACCTGATTTTCTCTATCTCTATTTTTTTCATAAAGAGAGAAGAAGATAGCAAGTGCCATAGTGATCAGGTAACGATCTCTGTAACGGATAGTGTTCCAGCCCTCTTTCTAACACACGATTTTACCCGTAAGTATGTCTTTGTCTCGCTCATGATTAGTTATTGACCATCACGTAGAAATTCGACTCTGGAATTGCCTAGTGTAAAAACTATGAGGCTGATATCAGTTTATGGTTCTCTCCTTTTAACACGCACTTCCAACCGTAAGTCTGTCTTTGTCTCGATCATTTAGCAAATATTTTAATCAGTTTCTGAAAAATTACAGTCATAATTCGACTCTGAAATGCCATGAAGTAAAAATTACTGGAGTTACGAGGCTGATAATAGCGAGATTTGAAAATCCGCTTGTGGTTCTCTCTTTTAACATGCACTTTCAGCCGTAAGTCTGTCTTTATTTCGCTATTTTAGCGGATATTCTGATTGGTTTTTGAGTAATTTATCATTAGATAAAAATTCGACTTCCAAGTGCCAAAGCGTAAAAACTATTAAAACAACGAGGCTGATAGATGATAGAAAGTTTTGGGAATCGAACTATGGTTCTCTCTTTTCAACACGCACTTTTAGCTGTATAAGTCTTTCTTTATCTAGCTCATTTGCCGCAATTGATTATTACGCAAACATTCAATTTTGAATGCCGTAGAGTAAAAACTATTGGCATTGGAACTACCAAGCTGGATAATGAAAAGTTTCGAAGATCCGAATATGGCTCTCCCTTTTCAACACCGGCTTTTGGTTATAAGTCTGTCTTTATCTAATTCATTTATCGAATATTTTGATTAATTTTTGGTTAATTAATTTATCATAACTAGGCTTATAATAGAAAGTTTGAGGACTCCCATTACGGTTTTCTCTATTTAACGTGCACTTTTACCTCTATGTCTGTCTTTGTCTCGCTCATTTACCGAATATTTCGATTAGTTTTTGAGTAGTTGATTTCTACGTAAACATTCAACTTTGAAATGCCGTAGAGTAAAAACTATTAGGGGTACGAGGCTGATAATAGAAAGTGTTAGGAATCCCATTACAGTTTTCTCTGTTCAACATGCACTTTTAGCTGTATGTCTGTCTTTGTCTCGTTCATTTACCGAATATTTTGATTAGTTTTTGAGTAGATCATTGCGTAAACATTCAATTTAGCGTAAAAACTATCGGATCTACGAGGCTGATGATAGAAATTTTTGGGAATCCTATTACGATTTTCTCTGTTTCACATGCACTTTTAGCTGTACTTCTGTCTTTCTCTCGCTCATTTAGCGAATATTTAGATTATTTTCTGAGTAGATTGTTACCTACGTTATTCCACTTTGAAATGCTGTAGTGAAAACTATTGGCGCCACGAGGCTGATAATGAAAAGTTCTAGAAGAGACCCGATTATGATTATTCAGGTGATTATCTCTTTTTAACACGCACTTTTAGCCTTAAGTCTGTCTTTGTCTCACTCATTTGGCGAATATTTTGATTAGTTTTTGAGTAAATCATTACGTAAACATTCAACTTAGCGTAAAACTATGGAGCTACGGAGCTCATAATAGAAATTTTTGGGAATCCCATTACGGTTTTCTCCGAGGTTTGCTCTGTTTCAATATGCACTTTCAGCTGATGTCTGTCTTTATCTGGCTCATTTAGTGAATATTTAGATTAGTTTCTGAGTAGATTTTTACGTAAACATTCAACTTTGAAATGCCGTAGAGTAAAAACCGAGGTGAAAACTATTGGAGCTACGAGGCTGATAATAGAAAGTTTTGGGAATCCCATTACGATTTTCTCTTTTTAATATGCACTCTTAGCTATATGTCTGTCTTTGTCTCGCTCGTTTACGAAATATTTTGATTAGTTTTTGGGTAGTTGATTACCACGTAAACATTCAAGTTTGAAATGCCGTAAAGTAAAAACTATTGGGGCTACGAAACTGATAATAGAAAGCTTTGGGAATCCCATCACGGTTTTTCTGTTTCACATGCACTTTTAGCAGTATTTCTGTCTTTGTCTCACTCAATTGGCGAATATTTTGATTCGTTTTTGAGTAGATCATTACGTAAACATTCAACTTAGCGTAAAAACTATTGAAACTACGAGGCTGATAATAGAAATTTTTGGGAATCCCATTACGGTTTTCTCTGTTTCATTATGCACTTTAAGCTGATGTCTGTCTTTATCTGGCTCATTTAGTGAATATTTAGATTAGTTTCTGAGTAGATTGTTACGTAAACATTCAACTTTGAAATACCGTAGAATAAAAACTATCGGAGCTACGAGGCTAATAATAGAAAGTTTTGGGAATCCCATTACGCGGTTTTCTATGTTTAACATGCACTAAAGCTGTTTATCTATCTTTGTCTCACTCATTTGGCGAATATTTTGATTAGTTTTTGAGTACATCATCACGTAAACTTTCAACTTTGAAATGCCGTAGAGTAAAAACTATTGGAGCTATGAGGCTGATAATAGAAAGTTTTGGGAATCCCATTATAAGGTTTTCTCCTTGGTTTTCTCTTTTTAGCATTCACTTTTAGCTGTATGTCTGTCTTTGTCTCGCTTATTTAGCGAATATTTTGATTATTTTTCGAGTAGATCATTACGTGAACATTCAACTTAGCGTAAAAACGATTAGAGCCACCTAAACCTAATGATAGAAAGTTTTGGGAATCGAATTATGATGGTTCTCTCTTTTTAACACGCAGTTTTAGCCGTAAGCCTATCTTTGTCTTGTTCATTTAGTGAACACTTCGATTAGTTTCTGAAAACTTAATCAAATGAAATGTGACTCTGAAATGCCGTAGAGTAAAAAATATTGGAGCTACGAGGGTGATGATAGAAAGTTTTGAAAATTCCATTACAGTTCTCTTTTTTTAACACGCACTTTTAGCCGTAATAGTCTGTCTTTGTCTCGTTCATTTAGCGAATATTTTGATTCATTTTTGAAAAATTATTCAGCGAAAATTCGACTTTAAAAAATCGTAGAGTGAAAACTATTCAAACTACGATGCTGATCATAGAAAGTTTTGGGAATCCCATTAAGGTTTCCTCTGTTTAGCATGCCCTTCTAGCTGTATGTTTGTCTTTGTCCCGCTCATTTAGAGCATATGTTGATTAGTTTCTGAAAAGTTACAGTTAAAATTTGACTCTGAAATGCCATGAGAGTAAAAACTACTGGAGTTACGAGGCTGATAATAGAAAGTTTTGAAAAATCCATTACAGTTCTCTTTTTTTAACATGCACTTTTAACCGTAATAGTCTGTCTTTGTCTCGTTCATTTAGCGAATTTTTTGATTAATTTTTGAAAAATTATTTAGCGAAAATTCGACTTTAGAACGTCGTAGAGTGAAGACCATTTAAACTACGAGGCTGATAATAGAAAGTTTTGGGAATCCCATTAAGGTTTTCTCTGTTTGACATGCTCTTCTAGCTGTATGTTTGTCTTTGTCCCGCTCATTTAGAGCATATTTTGATTAGTTTCTGAAAAGTCACAGTTAAAATTTGACTCTGGAATGCCATGAGAGTAAAAACTACTGGAGCTACGAGGCTGATAATAGAAAGTTGAAAATTCCATTACAGTTCTCTTTTTTTAACACGCAGTTTCAGCCGTAATAGTCTGTCTTTGTCTCGTTCATTTAGCGAATATTTTGATTAATTTTTGAAAAACTAATCAGCAAAATTTGACTTTGTAACGCCGTAGAGTGAAAACTATTCAAACTACGATGTTGAAAATAGAAAATTTTGGGAATCCCATTATTGTTGTCTCTTTTTAACACGTACTTTTAGACGTATGTCTGCCTTTGTCTAGCTCATTTAGCGGATATTTTGTTTAGTTTTTCGAAAAATTAATCACTTAAAATTCGACTCTGAAATGCCGTATAGAGTAAAAACTAAAAACTATTGAAGCTACGAGGCTGATAATGGAAAGAAAGTTTTGAAAATTCCATTACAGTTCTCTCTTTTTAACTCGCACTTTTAGCCGTAAGTTTGTCTTTGTCTCGAGCGAAAATTCAACTTTGAAACACCGTAGAGTGAAAACTATTCAAATTACGAGGTTGATAATAGTAAATTTTCGAAATCCCATTATGGTTCTCTTTTTTTAACACGTACTTTTAGCCGTATGTCTGTCTTTGTCTCGCTTATTTAGCGGATATTTGATTATTTTTCCGAAAAATTGATCACTTAAATTTCGACTCTGGAATGCCGTGGAGTAAAAACTATTGAAGCTGCGAGGCTGATAATGGAAAGAAAGTTTGAAAATCTCATTATAGTTCTTTCTTTTCAACTCGCACTTTTAGCCGTAAGTCTGTCTTTGTCTCGCTCATTTAGGGAATATTTTGATTAGTTTTGAGAAGATTAATCAGTTAGGATTCGACTCTGAAATGCCGTAGAGTTAAAACCAATAATTTTTTGAAAAATTAATGAGCAAAACTTAAACTTAGAAAATTTTGGGAATCCCATTATTGTTCTCTCTTTTTAACACGTACTTTTAGGCGTATGTCTGCCTTTGTCTCGCTCATTTAGCGGATATTTTGTTTAGTTTTCCGAAAAATTAATCACTTAAAATTCGACTCTGAAATGCCGTAGAGTAAAAACTAAAAACTATTGAAGCTACGGGGCTGATAATGGAAAGAAAGTTCCAGTTCTCTCTTTTTAACTCGCACTTTTAGCCGTAAGTTTGTCTTTGTCTCGATCATTTAGGAAATATTTTGATTAGTTTTGGAAAGATTAATCAGTTACTATTGATTTTTTGAAAAATTAATCAGCAAAAATTCAACTTTGAATCACGTAGAGTGAAAACTATTCAAACTACGAGGTTGATAATAGAAAATTTTGGGAATTTCATTATTGTTCTCTCTTTTTAACACTTACTTTTAGGCGTATGTCTGCCTTTGTCTCGCTCATTAAGCGGATATTTTGTTTAGTTTTCCGAAAAATTAATCACTTAAAATTCGACTCTGAAATGACGTAGAGTAAAAACTAAAAACTATTGAAGCTATGGGGCTGATAATGGAAAGAAAGTTTTGAAAATTCCATTACAGTTCTCTCTTTTTAACTCGCACTTTTAGCCGTAAGTTTGTCTTTGTCTCGATCACTCAGGAAATATTTTGATTAGTTTTGAAAAGATTAATCAGTTAGAATCCAACTCGGAAATGCCGTAGAGTTAAAACTATTAATATTTTGAAAAATTAATCAGCAAAAATTCAACTTTGAAACACCGTAGAGTGAAAACTTTTCAAACTACGAGGATGATAATAGAAAATTTTGGGAATTTCATTATTGTTCTCTCTTTTTAACACTTACTTTTGGGCCTATGTCTGCCTTTGTCTCGCTGATTAAGCGGATATTTTGTTTAGTTTTCCGAAAAATTAATCACTCGACTTCGACTCTGAAATGCCGTAGAGTAAAAATTAAAAACTATTGAAGCTACCAGGCTGATATTGGAAAGAAAGTTTTGAAAATTCCATTAGAGTTCTCTCTTTTTAACTCGCACTTTTAGCCGTAAGTCTGTCTTTGTGTCCCTCATTTGGGAAATATTTTGAAAAGATTAATCAGTTAGAATTTGACTCTATTTGAAATTCCGTATAGAGTTAAAACTATTGGAGCTACGAGGCTGATAATAGAATGTTTTGGCAGTTCCATTACAGTTTTCTCTTTTTAACACACACTGCCAACCGTGAATTTGTCTCTGTCTGACTTATTTAGCGAATCTTTTGATTAGTTTCTGAAAAATTAATCGGTTAAAATTCGACTTTGAAATGCTATAGAGTAAAAACTATTGGAGGCTGATAATAAAAAGTTTCAGAGATCCGATTATGGTTCTATCTTTTTAACAGTCGCTTTTGGTCATAAATCTGTCTTTGTTTCGCTCATCCAGCGAATATTTGATTTAGTTTTCGAGTAATTCATTAATATATAATCATTCAACTTTGAAATGCCGTAGCGTAAAAACTATTGAAATTACGAAGCTGATAAAGAAAGTTTTGGGAATCCCATGTTGGTTCTCTCTTCAACACGCACTTTTAGCGGTAAGTCGGTTTTCGTCTCGCTAATTTAATGAATATTTTAATTATTAGAGAGATATCGGTGAATCAGATAGCGCGTATGGACGGTAATAACGTCAGGAGTTATTTTTTTTAAAGTATAGCGGTATCATACTCTCAAATTAGAGTTATCGGAAAACAGTTTAACGTAAAATTTGCCTGTTCGCATCCGTTATTTTATAATCTTAACCCAACTTGTACCTTGTTCTGATTTGTCAATTTTTTGATTCTGTTGTTTATGGTCAGGGTCACAGGATTTGAATTTTCGATGCTTTTCCACGAGCTTTTCCATTATTTTTTGAAAATAAGTTTAACATAACATAACCTATAATATTCAACCAGCCCGTTGTCAAAAACCTGCGCATGCCTATTTAAGCATTTTTAGGCGTTATTCTAAATAGCGCTTAACGTAAATGTTGGGTAAATTACGTTATGCGGTAACGTTATTTCAGTATGTAGTGTTAAAAATCGAATCGCGCATACGTTTAATGTCAAAATAACGTGGGCGCTAATACTGCATGATGCTATTTGGGTTACCGATATCTCTCTATTTTTCGAGTAAATCATTACGTAAATATTCAACTTAGCGTAAAAGCTATTAGAGCTATGAGGCTGATAATACAAATTTTTGGGAATCCCATTACGGTTTTCTCTGTTTCACATGCACTTTTAGCTGTATTTCTGTCTTTTTCTCGGTCATTTAGCGAATATTTAGATAAGTTTCTGAGTAGATTGGTACATAAACATTCACTATTTGGTAATTACGTTATGACTCAACTTTGAAATGCCGTAGCGTAAAAATTATTAAAGCTATGAGGCTGATAATGGAAAGTTTCAGAGATATGATTATTATTCTCTGTTTTCAACATGTGCTTTTCGTCATAATTCTGTCTTTGTCTTGGTCATTTGATTAGTTTCCAAATAAATAATAAGTTGAAATTCGACTTTGAAATCCCGTAGCTTAAAAACTATTGGAGCTACGAAGCCGATAGTACAGTTTTCCGGAAATCTGCGATTTACTGAATTCTTTGACTCTTTCTTTTTCCAACGCATGAGTTTCTTCATAAATCTATCCTTGTTTCAGTTCCAGTTGTCCAAGTTTGGACTACTCTCTTTGTTTGATTTTTTTCGAAAAAATTATTACCATATCTATGGCGTATTTTATAGAACTAGAGCATTTAAAACGCCCTCTATCTTGACGTTGTTATGTGTCCCTAGAAAACTAAGCCACGAAACTTGAAGAATATTTCAAATGCACTTTTCGTGTTATTTTAATCACCCTGTACAAGGACGGAATTTGAGAATTTTGTGAAGAATTTAATCGACTGTTGGAGAGTTTATGAATCGGAAAACAGAGTCATCTACTGCATTATAATTTTTGGAAATCATGTTTTGTTTTGTAGAAGTGCCTCAACCATTTTATACTCCACTGGTCAATCAACTAAATTACTCACCGAGATTTTTAATCTTCAAAATTTCCGAGCACACCAAAAACATGATGCCGACAGGCGACAGCGTGATCACCCAAGAAGTGATCTTCATCATCATAGCTAATAAATCGTTGAAAAAGTTCGACATGGTTCTGGTTTGGTCGCCCATTTGCCCCAAAGCTATACCAATGGCCGCCGAGGCTACCACTAAACCCATAATGTTGGTCGTTTGAGTAACTTCGCTGCCAATAGCGAAAGTGTAAAGATCTAAAATAATTGATTAATTTGTAATTAGAGTGAGACAGAGGTCACTTACCGTCTGGATCAGAATTGTTTACTTCAACTAGTTTAGTTCGATGCTAAAAAGTTCCATAATTATTAATATAGAATTATTTGAAAATTGTTTATTTACTTGATACATTGTAGCTTCAATCAAGTTGGGTGGGAACATGTTTCTAATAAGATCCAGTAAAGTATCAGTGGTTGTTGTGTTTCTGCTATTGTAAGTTGTTGTTGATTCGTCGGTACTTTCAATAGTTTTTCCTACTCCTGGCTGAATCGTGACTACTACAATAATACCAAGTACTACTGAGGCAAATGTTGTTGTGAGATAATAGGCTATAGCTCTAAAAGCCACTTTTCTGGATAGAGATAAGTCCAAGCTGCAAATGGCTGAAACTATTCAAGTGGTTAGACATATTATTTTGTTTGATTGTGGCGCAATAAACTTACCCAAACAAGATATTATTAAAGGTATAATAAGCGATTTTAGCATCGACAAAAATATCTCTCCGATAAATCCGACGTACATGCGTTCTCTAGCTGACCAACTTTCTTTGGAAGCTCTCAATATAAATCCTAAAGCTGTTCCGAGTACTACGCCCGCTATTGTCGCTAGTGTCAAAGCGTTTGAACGTAGAAATCGCATAGTTGGACTACCCCTTAGGGGTGGTTTTTCCACTGCTTCGAAATTGTGATGCATTTTTGGTCAGTTGTGTTGCGAATCTGGAAATAAGAATCTTTTGATTGACTCGTGGTTTAAAATATTATGACATTGACCAATTAATCGCATTCCATCCTGGCAAATAAATTATTGTTGTTTCGCTCCAAATTAGGATGTGGGATTAAAATTTAAGCTAATTTATAGTGGGAAGCGTGCATATGCATCAATTAAAAAGCAATTAGAGCGAATTTTTTCGGGTAAATTGCTAGTGAAAAATTATTTATGTAAAAAAATAATTGCATGTGAGAATAATTTAAATATACATGGTTTGTTATGGAGAAAAATTCCACATAAAAATTGCAAAACATAACAATTAGATTGGAATTGGAATATCGGGGATCAAATTTATTGCGACAGTTAATCGGGCTTATCTTTATGTGGGGTTAATGACGCTGGATTAAATCACAGCATCGTAAATTCTATTATTTCGTGATATTTGATTGGTTTGTATCGAAACATAATTCCGATAAAAGACATTTGATCAATGAGAAGATCAAATATCTGATGACAATTTATAAGTTCTATTAAGATATTTTTTCTGAAAGAAATCTATGACAGCTGAATCAGTGGTCAAGTTTTCCATTGACATTATTATTTACCATCAAGAAGAAAATGGCGGGTTTGTGGTAACAACATTTAAAAAGAGTTGCTACGTTACTACATTGAGTAAACAACTAATCAAGTGATTATTACCGGCTCTTGATTCAAATCAAGAACCGAGAACAATTGAAAATTTATCTTTGAGGAAGATCAGCTCATGGAATCAATTTTAATGTCATTCTGAAGGTTTTCATTGACATAAGTCAGTTAAATAAGAAGAAGAAAAGAGTGGATTTATTGAACATTCTTGCAGAGTTGCTACATTGAACGGCACGTCATTTGAATCAAGAATAGTCAAATATTGAACATTCGAATCAATTCCTATACACTGTGGTATTGTGATCAATCTTCAGATACTTTGAAGTTTTGATTCATGGCTGTCAGTATTGAGTCTTGAAGTTTCCAGAGTCTGTAGTCTTAAATTCAATAATTCTGAGTCAAAAGTTATCAGAACCTTGAGTGTCTTACAGCATTGCTTTCAAATATAGGTCAATTCAGAATATTGAATCTTAACTCCTTAGTATTGTGTTCAATCTTCAGTAGTGGTCTTTAGAGAATCGAACATATGAAATTTTATGCCTTGCCTTCCATTTATGTCAGTTTTGAGTATCAACCAACAATTTTCAGTCAAAAATCTTCAGTTTTTCAAATATTGACTGTTTAAAATGTTTGCAGCATTTGTCTCAATTTATGATTCACCATGAAATCTTGTACCTTGAGTAGAAAATCCTTGTTTCTCTAAAACAAGGGATAAACTATCATCCCAGAATTTGTACAAACAATTCCTCAAAATTCCTGCAAATTCCTCCAAATTCCCCACAAATTCCTCCAGATACCCCATCACAAATTCCTCCAAATACCCCACCACTAATTTCTCCAAATACCCCACAAATTCCTTTAAATTCCCTGCAAATTCCTTCTTCGGTAATCCAGAATGCAGGGGTTTAAACTAACCTAAACCCGCAAAATTTTCTCCCTAATTGGTTTTCCACGAAAATTTTGAATTGTGTGAGACTGTATTAACAATTATTTTAGTTTTTATAAGTTGATTTCCAAGGTTTTTCATGTTTTTATTTTCCACTGGACAAAATTGAAATTTTGGGAAAATGAGCTTCTCCCCTTTCTCTTTATATGCGTTTCAAAATTTTCCCTTCACTAGTTTTCCAGGAAAACTTTGGAATGTGTGAGACTGTATTTTCAATTAATCCAGTTATTGGATGTTGATTTCCTGTTATTTTCCACTGAAAAAATTGAAATTTTGGGAAAATGAGTCTCTGACCTTCTTCTTCACTTGTAGAAAGTTTCAAAATTTTCCCTTGATTGTTTTTCCAGGAAAACTTTGAATTGTGTGAGACTGTATTAACAATTATTTCAGTTTTTGTAACTTGATTTCCAAGATTTTTTCATGTTGTTACTTTCCAATGAAAAAATTTAAAATTATGGGGAAATGAGCCTCTAACCTTCCTCTTCACATGCAAAAAGTTTCAAAATGATTTCGTTCACTAATTTTCCAGGAAAACTTTGAAATGTGTGAGATAGGTAGTATTTTCAACTAATTCAGTTTTTGTAGGTTGATTTCCAATATTCTTCATGTTGTTATTTTCCACTGAAAAAATTTGAAATTTTGGAAAAAATGAGCTTCTCCCCTTCCTCTTTACATGAAAAAGTTTCAAAATGCTCTCTTCTCTAGTATTCCAGGGAAACTTTGAAATGTGTGAGACTATATTTTCAATTAACTCAGTTATTATGGGTTAATTTCCAAGATTCCTCATGTTTTTGCATGCGAAGAGGAACGTCAGAGGCTCATTTCCACAAAATTTCAACCTTTTCCAGTTGAAAATAACAACATGAACAATCTTGAAAATCAACCTCTAATAACTGAGTTAATTGAAAATACAGTCTCACACATTTCAAAGTTTTCCTGGAAAAGTAGTGAAGGGAATAGTTTGAAACTTTTTGCATGTGAAGAGGAATGTTAGAGGCTCATTTTCCCATAATTTCAAATTTTTCCATCGGAAAGTAACGACATGAAAAGTCATAGAAATCAACTTAAAAAATTTAAATAATTGTTGATAAAGTTTCACACAATTCAGAGTTTTCCTGGAAAACTAATTGAAGGAAAATTTTGAAATTTTTTGCATGTAAAGAGGAAGGTGAGAAGCTCATTTTCAAAAAAAATGAAAATTTTTCCAGTGGAGAACAGAAACATGAAGAATCTTGAAAATCGACCTTTAAAAACTGAATTAGTTAAAGATACAGTCTCACACATTTCAAAGTTTTCCTGGAAAACTAGTGGAGGAAGAAGTTTGAAACTTTTTGCATGTGAAGAAGAATGTTAGAGGCTCATTTTCCCATAATTTCAAATTTTTCCATTGGAAAGTAACAACATGAAAAATCATAGAAATCAACTTACAAAAATTTAAATAATTGTTGATAAAGTCTCACACAATTCAGAGTTTTCCTGGAAAATTAATTGAGGGAAAATTTTGAAATTTTTTGCATGTAAAGAGGAAGGTGAGGAGCTCATTTTCAAAAAAAAATGAAATTTTTCCAGTGGAGAACAGCAACATGATTAACATGAAGAATCTTGAAAATCGACCTACAAAAACTGAATTAGTTGAAAATACAGTCTCACACATTTCAAAGTTTTCCTGGAAAACTAGTGGAGGAAAATTTTGAAACTTTTTGTATGTAAAAAGAAAGGTCAAAGCTCATTTTCCCAAAATTTTAAATTTTTCCAGTGGAAAATAACAACATGAAAAATCTTGGAAATCAACCTAAAATAACTGAATTAGTTTATTAAAAATACTGTCTCACACAATTTTTTTTAGAAAACTAGTGAAGGGAAAATTTAGAAACTTTTTGCATGTAAAGAGGTAGGGAAGAAGATCATTTTCCCAAAATTTCAAATTTTTTTAGTAGAAAATAACAACATGAAAAATCTTGGAAATCAACTTACAGAAATTGAAATAATTGTTAATGTAGTTTTACACAATTCAAAGTTTTGCTGGAAAACTAATTGAGGTAAAATTTTGAAACTTTTTACATATAAAGAGGAAGGTCAGAGGCACATTTTCCCATAATTTCGAATTTTTCCAGTGGAAAATAACAACATGAAGAATCTTGGAAATCAGCCTACGAAAACTGTACTCATTATTGTTTTGAATTTTTTAAATTTGGACCTGTATAAATCATGAGGTGAAGTTTTGGGAGAATTTCTTTCAACGTTCAACACAAAACTAGATTTTATTTTTAAATTTCCATTATTTAGTGTTTCTTATAATAAGAATGTGAACTTCCGTGACGTCATGACTCTACAATTTCCTTCAAATTCCTCACAAATTCCTCCAAATTTCCCATAAATTTCTCTGAATTCCCTATAAATTCCCCAAATTCTCATAAATTCCGATGAGTTCCTTCAAATTCCCCACATTTTTGGCAAAGAATTCCTAGGTGGTTTTTCCCTTGCTCTAAAATATTTATATTGAATCTTGAGTCTGGAATTTATATTCCAAACTTGATTTGACTGTTTAGATTGGTAATTAGTTTAAAGTCATCAAATAAACCAAAAGTTAGTATATGTACAGGGTGTTTCAGAAATGGTGTAACAACTTTCAAGGGCAGATAGTATTCATGAAAATAATTTAAAAAGTTCCTATGGATATAGGCCCGGAAACGCTTTGTTTCCAAGATACAGGGTGATACGTTTTTCAAAAAAAAAATAGTTTTTTATTAATAGCCCAAAAGAGCTTTAGCCGATTTTAATGAAATTTTCACGGATTATTTCAACCATTATTAGACATCTACTGGACTAATTAGATTTGATCCAGAATTCCCAGGGGCGTACCCAGCTTCCAAGTCGGTTGTTTTTGTGCAGAAAAAAATATCACTCTGTAGTTTTTGTACGATTTTTATTGATTATTCAGATAGACACACTAAAAATACAACATTTTGGTCTCTTAAATTTTTCAATTATCTCGCTTTGTTTTCGCGCAAAATTTACAATACCGAGATAATTGAAAAATTTAAGAGACAAAAATGTTGTATTTTTAGTGTGTATATCTGAATAATCAATAAAAATCCTACGAAAACTACACAGTGATATTTTTTCTGCTCAAAAACAACCTACTTGGTCGCTGGGTACGCCCCTGGGAATTCTGGATCAAATCTAATCCTATTGACATAAAATTGTTAAACATAGATGGAATAACATGGCGATAGCAGCATTCTTAAAGAGTTGCTATCTGAGAAATTTATTGAACGAGTGATTTTTCCCGGCTCTTGATTCAAATCAAGGGCCGGGAATAATCCGAAATTGAATATTGAGGAAAACCACCTATTTAAAATATTATTTCTTCAAATCTTAGCTTTTTAAAAAA